ACCACCAGCACCAGCCGCAGCAGCAGCAGGGAAACTGGCTCATCCCGGAGTCCTCGCTCCGTACGCCATCCAAACCCTAAACCCTAAACCCTAAAGCAGCAGCAGGAAATGCAGGAACTGTGTCAGTGCTGCGCTGTAGGGTTAAGGCTTTAGGGTTTAGGGTTTAGGGTTTAGGGTTTAGGGTTTGTGTGCAGATGCCTTTTTCAATTCTATTGCTTCCGTTGAGGACCCGCAGCAAATGTGGAGGGAGCACACAGAAGCCCTAGGTGCTGTTAAACCCTAAACCCTAAACCCTAATTGCTAAACCCTAAACCCCAATTCCTAAACCCTAAGCCCAAGAGAACAGCTTCAGCAGCATTGTTGTACCGTTTAAGGAACAGGGCAGAAATTTTTGGGACATGAGATTTAGGATTAGGGTTTAGGGTTTGGGGATTAGGGTTTAGGGTTTAGGGTTTAGGGTTTAGGGTTTGAGCTCAGAAGCAAGAATGATTGGTTGTTTAGAGGGGCCAACTCCAGATGTGGAAGCAGCAGAAGAGCTACAGGAGGTAGGCTCTAAACCCTAAACCCTAAACCCATGAGATGCAGCAGAAAGAGTTTTAACTTTTAGAGCTTAGGCCTCTTCTTTTGGGACTTAGGGTTTAGGGTTTAGGGTTTAGGGTTTAGGGTTGGCGGTGCACGTTTTCAGGCGCTGAAGTTTGTGGAGGCTCTCGCTGCACGCGCTGCAGCAGCAAGGGATTGCAGCAGCAGCAGCAGCAGCAGCGGCAACAGCAGCAGCAGCAGCAGCAACAATCTGAAGCGTCTCAAGCCACTCCATGAGCGCATGCAGGTTCGTAGGAGAGGGTTTAGGGTTTAGTGTTTGACTGAGGGTTTGAGATGTTACATTTGGTTAAGGGTTTAGGGTTTAGGTTTCAGGGTTTGGGGTTTGCGTTCCTCAGGTCTTCACCAGATTGCTGCAGATGGTCCATGAGCAGCAGCTCAAGACCCGTGCCGCTAAGCAGCAGCAGCAGCAGCAGCAGCAGCTGGAAGCAGGAAGGCACACGGGAAGCAGCAGCAGCAGCAGCAACAGCAACAGCAGCAGTGGCTTCAGCTTTTACCAAGCAGCAGATGGACAGCCAATTTTCCTTCACCCTTTTTGCTACCAGTAGGGTTTAGGGTTTAGGGTTTAGGGTTTAGGGTTTAGGGTTTAGGGTTTAGGGTTT